GTAACTTAATCTACTACCAATTCCCTTTCCTTAGCACCCAAAAGCTGTCAAAAGACAAACTGGCAAATCCAAACTGGTATGCCCTTTGAGTTCTCCTTCACGAATCCATAAAAGCAGACTATGGTAACAAGACCCTACAGTCACTATAGACGAATAGTAATTATCAAATATAAAGATAAGCAGAAAACTGTGAACCATTCACTTAACAAATGTTTTGTTAAATGTGACCATAAATTGTATATATTGAGCACTTCTACAAGAACTCATCTAGGGGCACCTAAGTGGCTCAGTCAGTTGAGCATCTGCCTTAGGCTCAGGTGGTGATACCAGAGTCTTGGGATTGAGCCCCACATTCTGCTCCCTGCTCAGTGGGTAGCCCGCTACTCCCCCTGCTTATGCTCCCTCTCTCTCCGGAAAAAGAAGAAGGAGGAGGAAGGGGAGAGGGAGGGGGAGGGGGATAGGGAGAAGGAGGAGGAGGAGGAGGAGAAGAACTATGCATCTAGATGTAGTAATGAGCAAGATAGATGAGGTCCTGATTCACACCAAGTATACATCCAAGCCCAGGAATTCTAGTGGAAGCATCAAACATTTGGGAAAAGCAACATCATGAAACAAAGTATCAAACACAAAGAATCTTTCAAAGAGAACAGAGTTAACACCCAAAGGAAAGAGTTAATGGAGAAAACAGAAGACTTGAAGCATCACTATTATTCTCAGATATTGAGGGAATACTTCATTTGTAAGATAAGAATAGATTTTGACAGGAGAGAATTCTGAATAAACACTAACATTTAGATATATGTGTATGAAATCTTAGAAAAACAAAGATAAAGAGAAATCCTATAGGTTTTCAGAGAGATATAAGAGATTATCAGGTATTCAAGGACTGGCTACAGTTCAACTTTAAAAGAACTATGAAAGGGCATATTTTATCAAAGCAAACAATGAAACAAAGACCATAAAGTGAAGAACAAAGGGCAAAAAGATACATATTATAACACTATTTATAAATATTTTATTTTATTTATTTTTTTTAAAGATTTTATTTATTTATTTGACAGAGAGAGATCACAAGTAGGCAGAGAGGCAGGCAGAGAGAGAGAGGAGGAAGCAGGCTCCCTGCTGAGCAGAGAGCCCGATGCGGGGCTCGATCTCAGGACCCTGAGATCATGACCTGAGCCGAAGGCAGTGGCTTAACCCACTGAGCCACCCAGGTGCCCCCTATTTATAAATATTTTAAAAACATCAAATATTTTCATGGAAATAGACATACAATAAAAATATAAAGACATTTATGGCCGCCATACATGAGTGTAAGAGGGAACGAAATGGGGGAGGGCTTCTTTAAGAAGAAGGAACCACTAGCAGCAGAATCATAAATGATCTCAACACAGAGGAGAGTGCATGAGACAGGGGAGAAAGAAGAAATGTGAAACTTTATTAATAGTCTTTTCTTGGGGTGCCTGGATGGCTCAGTGGGTTAAAGCCTCTGCCTTCGGCTCGGGTCATGATCCCAGGGTCCTGGGATGGAGCCCCGCGTGGGGCTCTCTGCTCAGCGGGGAGCCTGCTTCCTCCTCTCTCCCTGCCTGCCTCTCTGTCTACTTGTAATCTCTGTCTATGAAATAAATAAATAAAATCTTTAAAAAAACAAACAAACAAACAAACAAAAAAGAGTCTTTTCTTGCTCTGGTGAAGAGTGTGGATACCAGTTAAATCTAGAAATTGATTAAAAAAAAAGTTTAAATACATATGTTAAAAATTTCAGGTTAACCACTAAAAATCAACTTGAAATAGATATTTTTTTTACTTCCAAATCATCAAGAAACGATACAGAGAAGACAACCAGTGTAAAAGACCATAGACTAAGTTCAACTAAATCAATAATCACAGTAAGTGTGGGTTAAATTCACTTTTACAATAGACTGCCATATTGGAGTTTGTTTTCACCTGATTTTTGTTTGTTTTTTAATGGACCATTTATATTTGCTTTATTCCAACACTCACCAAATATCTATATCTTTGGCTAATTCTTTTTTTTTTTTTTTTTGGCACTTATTAGTTTTTTTTAAGATTTAAATTCAATTAATTAACCCATAATATATTATTGTTTCAGGGATATAGGTCTGTGATTCATTAGTCTTATATTATACCCAGTGCTCATAACATCACATGCCCTCCTTAACGTCCATCACCCAGTTACCCCATCCCCCCACCCACCACCCCTCCAGCACCCCTCAGTTTGTTTCCTAAGATTAAGAGTCTCTTTTTTTCTCTCTCTCTCTGGTTTCATCTTGTTTCATTTTTTTCCTCTCTTCCCCTATGATCCTCTGCCTTGTTTCTTAAATTGCACGTATCGGTGAGATCATATGATAATTGTCCTTCTCCGAATTCACCTGTTTGGTTTTTTTTTAGTTTTTTAATTTAAGTAGGCTGCACACAACGTAGGGCTTTGAACTTAGGACCCTAAGATCAAGAGTCGCATGCTCTACTGACTGAGCCAGCCAGGTGCCCCAGTCAGTTTCAAAATATCCACCTACATGGTTTATAAGGTACATGTTAGCAAGACACATACCTCAGACAAAATAACACAGGACTGCTGTAAAAAACGAAATGGAAAAACATTCCCCTTTTCCATGGAGCTTCTATTTCAAGACCCCCCAGTGGATGCCTGAAACCCCAGAGAGTACCCAACCCTATATATATTATGCTTTTTTCCTATACATACATACCTCTGATAAGGTTTAATTTATAAATCAGTAAGAGATTAACAATAACTAGTAATAAAATAGAACAATTATAATGATATGTAAATGTGATCTCTTTCTCTCTCAAAATACCTTCTTGTACTGAACTCACCCTTCTTACGATGGTGATGGTGTGAAATGACAAAATACCTATGTGATGAGATGAAGTGAGGTGAGTGATGGAGACACCATGACCTAGCTAGCTACGACTGACCCTGACCATACATCAGGAGGAGGGTCATCTGCTTGTGGATGGCAGGTACCACAGGTGAGAAACCACAGAACATGAAACTGCAGGTAAGAGGGGACTACTGTACACCAAATTAGTAATTTAAAAAAAAGGAAAGTAAATATAATATTAACATTAGGCAAACTGGAATTAAATGCATCAAATGGAAGGAGAGAAAAATCTCTCATGGATAAAATATGCAACTAGTCAACGTGTCATGGCACAAACATTTATGTACCTAAAAACAGCTTCAAAATATATAATGCAAAAACTGATATCAAAATCAGAACAAAAAAACTTCTATAATCATAGTGTGATTTAACATACCCCTCTCAAAATATGCACATTTCAAAGGAATAAAAAATGTGAAAGGTTTTAATAAGCTTCACTATGTAAGCCTAAATATACAAAAGTACACACATGCACAAATACACACAATAGAGGATACAAGCAACCAACAGCTTAAAACATGACTATGTATTAGGCCACACATGCACTGAAGTCCCCAAAGCATCAAAGCATAAGTGACAGTCTCTGATCATACCTCGAAACAACACAAGGGTAATCATCTGGACTGTTTCACTTCGACTGGCATCAGACGGGCAAAACTCTAAATGGCAGTTTGTGAGGCTTTAGGGAAGTGGCATTTATAGGATCTTTAGGTAGGAGTATAAATGGCCAAGGCCTTCTTTACACAGTAAGTTGATACTATCTATCAAAATTTTAAAGTCATACCTTTGCCGCAGCAATTCTACTTCTAGAAATCCCTCATAAAATAAGTACACATAATTACAGAACAAATTTGTGTAACAACACAGCGAGCGCAATGCTAATTATAGCAGGAAAACAGTAATAACCCAAGAATCTAACAACAGAAAAATAGTTAAATTATTTATAGTATATCCATTTCATAAAATGCCAAGCACTGACATGGAAAGAATCTCCAAGACTCTACAGTGTTGCCTTTTTTTTTTTTAAGTGTAAAAAATACATCTGTATCATTCAAATTATGTTAGGATAAAAAATAAATAGAAAAAGGAGTTGAAGAGTACACAATATACTTTTACTTCCGGAGAGGGACATGGTGGAGAACTTTTATATTTTACTTTACATATGTCTCAACTGTTTGAATATTTTATGATTTGTACTGCTTGTACAATCCAAAAGAGAAAAGAGCAATTTTTCAAAATTTCTTATTTATTCCCCAGAAAAAGACTGGGATCTTCCTGTTCTTATTACAAATTTGATTAAACTCATTGGAGAGAACAGAACAAGGGTAAACTTCCAACTGTTCCCTCTGCCAGAACACTGTTCTCTCAGATAAGGCTCACTCCTTCACTTCCTTCAAGTTTTCCACTTAAATATCATCTTATCTGAGAAAACTTCCTTGACTTTTCAATATAAAATGACAACCTCCCACACCTATTCTACTGCCCCCCAACTACTTTGCCTTGCTTTTTATTTCACTGGAGTACTTCCAACACCTGTGTCTTAGTGTCCCTATCTCTAAAATGAGGGTGATAACAGTATCTATCCCACAGGTTGATGCTAGGCTTCAGTGAGCCAGAGCGCTCGGATGAGTGCCGGGCTCTCACTAGGAGCCCCATCAGTCCATGATTTTATGCCACTTTTGCGGATGGTCCGCCTTCCCCCTATTACAATGACACACCCAGGAAAGAAAGGACTGTGATTTGTTCCCAATTGCATCCTGAATGCCTGGAAAGTGCTTTTATCAGTAAATATTCATAGCTGTTGATGCTTGATTTAGCACTGCAGCCATATGCACAGACAGCTGAGATTACAAGAAAAAGATCAATTATTTTCAGTAAAAGCAAGCTTTCTGCAACTAACATGAATCATCTGTAATAATTCAATCTACTTTAAAGCATAATATTTAGCAGCAGGACTCCTAGAAGCTTCAAATAGGGAGTTGGTATGGTACCATTTAATTCATTAATTTCTCAACACCAAATGGCAAAAGAAACTAAAACATAATGTGGAATGAGAAAAATGAAAGCACAACTTACTTTGCATTCCTGTTTTTGATGCATGGCTGGTAGAGGACCTTGACAGCATTCCAGGCAGAACAGGAATCTGCCTTCAAGTTATCTTCCAACAGGGGGAACTTTTTGATACTTTTGGAACTTCCCAAAGATTCAATCACCAGACTATCTGAGTTTAAAAGCCATAGCTAAAGATACGGAGAGAAAGGCCCAAGTATAAGGATATTATCATCACCCTATCTGTATCTCATAACACTAAAAACGAAATACACACAAAACTATAAAAATACCAGAAAAAAAAAAAAAGACAGGAGAACCCTGAAATAATTTTTAAGTATGGTAAGTCTTTCAAAGTGTAACATCTAGTAGAGCTGCTGAGATCATAAAGTTTAAAAAAAAAAAAAAAAAGACAACCAACTAGGAGAAAATAGTTAATATATAGATAACAAAGTTATTATCTGTAATATATAGAGTTCCCAGGAATTAAGAAGGGGCCAAAAACAGTCCAACAGAAATAAAGGCAAAGAATATGAACAGAAGTAACAGAAGAAATAAGTGATGAACATATATAAAAATGTTAGTAATAAGGAAATGTATAAATCATGTGCCACCATTTTTCACTTATTAGATTGGCAAGTACAGAGATGGTGACATTCAGTTCAATAGAGGGGTCTGGACTGCTGGTGGAAGAGCGTTTTTTGGAATTTGGACGCATGCTGTTCATTGAGGGGCTCAGCTGCAGTCATACTTCAGCTTGATCCCCCGGGGAGCTCTGATGCAAGAATGGCACCTACATTGTCTGTCCCACCTCGAGACAGGAGGCCTCTGCTTTCTGTAACCCAGGGTCAAATCACTGGCAGTAGACTGACCAAGGCAGGGGTGGGGAAGACCTGACTTCCTGAACAAGGTGGCACCTGTCATGTGAGGGCATGCCTCTGGAGACAAGGCAGCTGAGCACAATTAGCAGCCCACATGTCTCAGCATCTGGGAAATGGGTGCACCAGTCTGAGTAAGGAGGACCTGGGCAGGGTACCAAGAATGTCTCACTACATGGGACAAATGAGTACATTTTCTGGTGGGTGATAATTACCAGTTTAAAAAACACAAATTCTAATACCATCTTAGATTAGAAAGGTCTATTTCTAAAGAAGTACTAAAATACACATGCAAAGATTATTTTCATTGAAGCACTGTCTTTAACAGCCACACACTGGAATTCTAGGCATGAAAGACCCTGGTCTATACTTACACTCACAAGGAACAATCCTTATGATATACTGTTGAGTGAAGTAAACATGATAAAGAAAAATGCTCGTCATGTGATTCGGGTATGTTTCACAAACAGAAAAGCAGAAATGTGAGTGTATGAACAAGAGAGCTATACCCAGAGAGGGAGAAGACGCTGATGGACACACCATACCGTTAGTAATGTTTACCTTCAAATCCTACATACAGCAAGACAAGGAGAGAAGAAAAGTTGGGGGAATACCACTTCTTTTACATTTCTCATGTTGTCTGAATGTTTCAAGAAGGTATTACCTTTTTTTTTTTTTTAAGATTTTATTTATTTATTTGACAGAGAGAGATCACAAGTAGGCAGAGAGGCAGGCAGAGAGAGAGGAGGAAGCAGGCTCCCTGCTGAGCAGAGAGCCCGATGCGGGGCTCGATCCCAGGACCCTGAGATCATGACCTGAGCCGAAGGCAGTGGCTTAACCCACTGAGCCACCCAGGCGCCCCGAAGGTATTACTTTTATAACAAACAAGTTTTTTGAATTTATTTTTTTAAAGATTTTATTTATTTATTTGACAGAGAGAGAGAGAGAGAGAGAGGTCTCATGTTAAGCATTCTCACCCCATACACACACACAAAAACAGGAACAACAGAACATATTTTAAACAGAAGAGTATCAAAGGGAAAAATAGGGGGAAAATCAATAGGGGGGAAAAAAGTGACAGAAACAGAATTAAGTTATAGTGACCAAGAAATGCCATGAACGACTTAGAGTGAAGAACTTTATTTTGTGGTGTGAGCAGGAATCAGGTTTTATTTCTTTCTATATCCCTAGTACCTAGCACATAGAGGCACTTGATCTATTGTTATCAAATTAAGGGAGTTGATTTTGAATTAAACTGATATTACAAACTCAAATTTCTGATCATTTCTTTTCTAGACCTGAGACTTAAAAAAGAATGGCAAGACTAACGAATTTCTGAGACCCTGGATTACCACACTACAGAAAGCTGGGAGAAATCACTTCTTACCAGGATGTACGCTTTGCCATCATGACCTTGAATAGTGAATCTGAAAGTGCTTCTAGCAGCGGAGAGTTCCACTAGACACTGGGCAATAACACTCTGTACAAACTGAGACCTGTTTGAAAAGAAATAAATTTTCACAATGTGCCTCTCATAATAACTCTAAATGGCAAGAGGACCCAAAAATACCCACAGGGTACTAAAAGGCAAACGTGTGTGCAGCCTGACTTTTCTATATGCTGCCCATCCCTTTGCAGACTGTGCTAATGTGGATTTTAATATATTTTAATGTATTTGTGTTTCCTCCAGTCTTCTTATAACCTATTCTCCAATCCTTAACACACTTCCCATCCCAAACCTAACTATTCCCCTTGACTGAATAAAAAATACCGTATTAGTCAAGTCAATATTCCATTTGTGCTGCCCCACATTAAACAGTAAGTTAAAAGAGAAGGCGAGGTATTTCGTCCCAAACATTAGACAGTATTATATATGATGTCTTCCATTTGCATCCATCCCCTCAAAGAGTCAGAGCTGAGGCACAGAATCAAAATATTTACAGGAGGATAAGTTTTAAGGTTATATTCAGATTGCCATAATTTCTAGATATCCATAAATAAACTGAAACAGTTAACTTCTGTTTGCAAAATAAAAAAGATTCAAAAGAAAGAAAAAGCTAATGGATTTAGTGGTTAAGTAACTTTTTTTTTGAAAACACAGGAATCATTTGAAAACTGACTCATGTTTCAAATTTAAATAAGTCAAATTAATCCCAGAAATAATTATTCAAAAACCTATTGGTGATTAAGTTATGAGACCCTGGATATATGACAAATAGAAAGAAGCACAAAAAACTTTCAGGTTTAGAAGATTTATATGATGAGCACATTTATTTATGCCACTATGTAATAAACAAACAATAAATGAATCTCAAGTCTTTTGTATGTGTGGTTTGGTTCAACTGCCTCAAAAGCCTTTATTTTTCTTTTCTAAATAAAGAGAGGTATAAATAAAAATGAATTCCCAAATAATTAATTGTACCTATCATTCTCCACATTTGAAACTGCAGAATAAACTTAATTTGCTATTTGTACCTTGCTATGATAGAAAATTTTCTTTCAGATGGCTGAATAATTATCTCCGTCATATAAAACTTGGTGGTTTCTAGAAACAAAAGTAAGAAAATTAAAATCTAATTTTAAATTTAAAAACATTTTTATGGTGGGCATACTGGTCCTAATTACAATATCCCAAACTAAATATTTTGTACACATACTGGTAAAATTCGCTTTCAGTAAAAATTTTCCCAAAATGACTTAGTGTAAGACACCAACAAGACACAAGGAGAGCATCCTGAGCCTGGTGTTTTAGAACACATGCCCAAATGAATCTTGGCACAGTGACACTCTGTTCACACGCATGGAAGGTTGGAAAAATCAGCCACATTACAGCCATAGCTCACTTAGTACAAACTAGTCAGTTATTTCCCCATTTCTATAGTCACAAACCTAGGAGTCACTGGAAAAGGCTTTTGAATCACAGTGTCCCAAAACCCATGAAAAGATGCTGTAAACCTCACATTAGTATTTCCCAGAATCTCACTGAGTCTATTAATGCACAATTCCCAACAAATCTGGTTATCTAATTACTTAGTTTATAGAAAAATTTGAACAGTAAACTAAGTATCTTATAGAAATGAATAGAAACATAACCATTCTGAATTTTTAAAAAATCCATGAAAAATGTTTCTTTTCATTAGTAATAAAGGAAATACAAATTAAAAGGAGATATTCTGCAGCATCAAACAAATATTTGTGAATGACAAAACATAAGCAATGATGATGATATGGAGAAAGGGGTACACTTAGACACATACTGCTATCAGAACTGCAAATGATACATTTCTGGAAAGCCACTTAATGAAGACCTGAAATATATTCTGATGCCATCATTAAACACCTAAGAATTTATCTCAAAGAAATATTCATACCTGTAAAAATGCTTGTATTAATTAAACTGAAAACAATTTCTCTAAAAATTGAGAATGGTTGGGCTAAACAATTACACATTTAGGCAAGTGAATTCTATGCAATCATTGAGAATGGTGTGCCAAATAATTTTAATTGTCTAAGTAAAATGGAGGGTTATTCTCAGTACATTTTCTGAAAATGTTTTCAATTGTTCAATGTAACATACCAAAAAAGGCAAAAAAAATCAATAGACAGTTTAACAGCGTATTACATATCTAGAGCCATGATGATGAATTTATCTACTTCTCCTTTAAGTTCAACTTTTCATTTTGCTATTTTGAAATCATGTTACTAGATGCAGAATTGCACCTTTTAACATTATGAAGTGATCCCTTCTAGCTGCTGTTGAACTATAACTTAGTTCTCTAATTTTAATCCTTTAAGATATTGTTATTATGGCTTTATGCAGTTAGCATCCCCTTAATGTCTCCCACATAATTACCACTGTCTATACCAATCCTTCTTGAATTTAGACCTTCTATTTGGGATGATTTTCTTCTATTCTATTAAGATAGAATTCTATTCTTCCACAAGTACAATTTCTTTTAATAAAAAAAAAAACAGAAATGGATTATTCTAGTTTTTGTCACAAAACTTCTTTGTCTTGATTCACAGGAGAACATTTGCACCATATAAAATCCTAGGTTAACAGTTTTTAACCTTTGTGCACACTGACACTTGGATTCCATTATCTTCAAACTTTCATTATTACTGCTCCTTTGAAAGTGATGTCATTTTTCTTCAATTGTTTTTAAGATGTTCTGGTTTTTGTTTGTTTTGCTGTATCATTCTGTATGTCTCACTATAGACTTCTTTTCATCTTACTTGGGTTTCATTTAATTAGAATTCTTGCACCTCCTCAACCTTAAGCTTACTGTTTGTATCACTTTTGTAAAATTCTTAGCAATTATCTCTTCAAATATTGCCCCTTATATTTTCCTTCTAGAAGTCAAACTAAAAATAGGTTAGAGTACAAAGATTCCTCAAAAAGTTAAAAATAGAACTACCCTATGATTCAGCAATTGTAAAACTAGGTATTTACCCAAAGAATAAAAAAATAGTAATTTAAAGCGATATATGCACTCTGATGTTTATAGCAGCATTATCAACAATAGCTAAATTATGGAAAGAGCCCAAATGTCCGGTGACTGATGAATGGTGGTGTGTATACAAACACACACACACACACACACATACACACACAGAAATATTACTCTGCCATAAAAAGAATGAAATCTTGCCATTTACAACAATGTGGATGCAGCTAGAGAGTATTATGCTAAGTAAAGTAACTCAGACAAAAACAAATACCATATAATTTCACTCATATGTGAACTTAAGAAACAAAACAAATGGGGGCGCCTGGGTGGCTCAGTCAGTTAAGCATCAGACTCTCGATTTTGGCTCAGGTCATCTCGGGGTTGTGAGATCAAGCCCTGAATCTGGCTTGACACTCGGTGTGGAGACTGCTTAAGATTCTGTCTCTCCTTCTACCCCTCTCCACACCACTCCACTCTCTCTCTCTTAAAAAAAATTCATAGAGGAAAAAAAGAGAGAGGAAAATTAAAAAAAAAAAAAAAAACAGATTCTTAACTACAAAGAACAAACTGATGGTTACAAGACTGGAGGTGGGTAAGAGGATGGGTTAAACAGGTGATGAGAATTAAGGAGGGCACTTGTTTAATGAGCACCAGGTGTTGTATGTAAAGTGCTAAATCACTGAACTATACACTTGAAACTAATATTACAGTGTATGTTCACTGGAATTTAAGTAAAAACTAAAAAAGCAAAAAAACATGTTAGATCTTCTTGGTATATGTTTTACATCTTACTTTCTCCTCTATTTTTGCCTTCTTCTCTCTCTGTGCTGGATTATGGATTCTTCTTCTTATCTACCTTCTATTTATGAATTCTTTCTCCAAGCTGTACATAATCTGCCTTTAAATCATCCACTAAAGGGGAGCTTCGGTGGCTTAGTTGGTTAAGCATCTGCCTACGGCTTAGGTCACGATCCCAAAATGCTGGGATTGAGCCCCACATCGGCTTCCTCGTTCAGCGGGGAGCCTGCTGCTCCAACTCTTCTTCTGCCCCTCCCCCTGCTTGAGCTCTCTGTCAAATAAATAAGCAAAATCTCTAAAAAAAAAAAAAAAAAAATCATCCACTAAATTCTAAATTTCCATTATATATATTTTTTAGAAATTCTATTGTAGATCTTTTCCAAATATGCTTGCTGTTGTTTCCTTTGCCTTTGATGCCTTCAAACCTCTTATACTGTTCAATACAGGAAAGCATGATTGTTCCAGTTTACATGTGTAAATTCTACTAACAGAAGTCTGTTTCTGTTTGTTTGTTGCTTTTGTTAGTTCTTGTCGATGGAAGTCTAGTTTACTTGTGTACTTATTTATCTGTGGTTGTATGGGGAACACTACTTGACAAATTATTTGTGAGAATAATATGAGTTTTACAATGAAGGCATTTTACTCCAGAGGTGATTTGCATTTGATTTTGCCAGGGATATATGGGTGTTATAGCTATTCCAAGGCAGAGTAACCAAGTTCAAGACTTGAAATTCCCTAAAGTACCAAAGGGTTGATAAAGGTCTATAATTCCACAGGGCTGTTCCACTTCCCATTCACCTTCACAGTAAGGGTTTGCCTCTTTAGGGTCCCAAAATTTTGTTCAGAGTTGTCTACTAGGTTCCCTTTTGGTGTAGTCTTTATGTCCTTACTTCTCAAACCAATCAAAATAAAAGTTCTAGGTGCGCCTGGGTGGCTCAGTTGTTAAGCATCTGCCTTCAGCTCAGGTCACGATACCCGGGTCCTGGGATTCAGCCCCGCGTTGATTGCTCAGGGGGAAGCCTGTTTCTCCCTCTCCCACTCCCCCTCGCTTGTGTTTCCTCTTTTGCTTCATCTCTTCTCTGTCAAATAAATAAATATTTTAAATAAACAAACACATAAATAAATAAAAGTTCAAATTTTAGAGAACTGGCATATTGCAGGGAAAAGGTGGATTCTTTTTTGCTAACCTCTGAGTTTGCTCGTGTGGTAATTTACCCATATATTTTCTATTTATCTTGATCTTCATTCTTTCCTGTGGATTCCAGTCCATTTATTTTCTTTCACTCCAGCCTGAAGAACTTTTTTTTTAGCATTTTTTGTAGAGAAGATCTGCTAGTAATGCGTAACCTCCCTCTATATGAAAATGCTCTTGGTTTTGCCTTCATTTTTGAAGGGCGGTTTTGCTGGATATATAATTATTAGCTGACAGATTTTTTGTTTTTTTTTTTTTTAATTTCCTTCCAGCATTTTGAATATCTCATTTTAATGTCTTCACTATTTCTGCAGAGTCAGCCTTAATTGTATCACGAAGTTCCCTGTATGTGATGCTTCATTTTTCTCTTGTACTTTTAAGATTCTTCATCTTTGGCTTTTATCAGTTTGACTACAATGTGCCTAGGTGAAGTGTTCTGTGTGTTTATCCTACTTTTCATTGCACTTATTGGATCTAAAAGTTAATGAATTTCAGCAGATTTGCTAAGATTTCAGCCATTGTTTTCTACAAATATTTTTTCATGAGTTATTCTTTTTCTTCTTACCTCTGAGATTCCATTTACAAATTAACTGAAACATTTTGATATTGTCCCACAAATCTCTGAGGTCCCATCCATTTTGATTCAGACTTTTTCCTCTCTGTTCTTTGCATTAATTTCTATTAATATACCTTCAAGTTCAATGATTATTTTTCCTCTTGTCATCTCAAATATGTAGTTCAGCTGATCTAATGAATTTTTTAGTTACTGTAGTTTTCAGCTCTGAAATTACCAATGGTTCTCTCTCTGTGAAGTTTCCAATTTGTTGAGATGTGCTATTATTTCACTCAAGAGTTCCCCCCCTTTTAATTTTTAGCCATATTTATAACAGCCACTTCAACATCTTTATCTAATATTTGCACAAATCTAATATTTGCACTTATTCAGTACCTGTATTTTGAGTCCTGTTTTTTATTATCGATCACTCTTTTCCATTTATTTGCATGTCTAATAATTTCTAAATGGAAGTAGGACACTGTATGTAATATAATGTTGCTATTCTGGATTTTGTTTTGTTCTTTTAAGGGTTGTTGACTTATAATAGTCAATTAACTAGCCTGGACTCAAACTATGAAATATGTCTTCCCACAGAGTGTAGTCGCTAATGTTTCTGCTCAGTTTTATTTTGCTTAGCCTGGCTCCCTAGAGAGTATTCATTATACCTGCACAGGTTAGCTGTCAACAAATCCGGAGACAGGTTTTGATCAAATACCTCAAACCATTAAGGCTCCCACCTTTTGCTGCCCAACTGTGTGTGGATGAGAAATGAAAGCAAAGGCAGGGGAAATGTGCAGGTCTCCCGGAGCTTTCAATTCTTATTGAACTCTCTGGAATCTACTGTGTGCATTTAACAGTCACCCAGAGCTCTGTGAAGAAGTTATTGTCTCAGCCCATCCCTTCCTTTTTGCTTCCAAAATCTCCGTCTTAAATTTCTAGTTTCTCCTTTCCCTACCTTGAACCTTACCTTATTATGACTATAATGATATCATGGTAATGTTTCCTTTCTTGTTCAGCCTTCCATTTTCCTGCAGTGAATAACTGCTTTCTTTTTCATCTGTTTAGTTTTCCAATCACTTTTACCTAATTCTTTCCATCTAATGAAATGGCGTATCTCAAGACTGTTAACATGCAGTCAAACAAACCAAAGAATGTACCGGTTTCATTTTGTAATTGAAAAAATGTTTATTGCAGTCTTCTCTCCTTCGCTTCAATCTAGGCTATTATTCCCAAGGCCTGCCCCATGTGTCCCTCACTCTAGGACTCCCTTATCTGTGTTAGATAATCTGTTTCCCAAATCCCATGTCTTCTCTCTAAAGGTTAAATCCTTAGGTTTGGTGAGATATATCCTATGGTACATTTCTAAGGAAAATACACATATGAGGTCTGTGTTTTGAGACATTGCATATCCAAAGCTGTATGTGTTATCTTCATCCTTGATTTGATAATTTGACTGTGATAGAATTATGGGTTAAAAATATTTTTCCTTCCAAATTATGAAGGCATTACTTCACTGTCTTCTAGATTTCAACAATGCTGTTAAGAGTTCAATGTCATTCTAATTCCTGATCTCTTGCTTTTTTTCCTCAGGAAACTTCTTCCTTGGTATTCAGAAATTACTCAATGATACAGCTTTGAGTAGCTTCCCAGGCACTGCATTAGTCATACTGGACATGTAGTGGGCCCTTTCAGTTGAGAAACCAAAGCCCTAACTTTGGAAAATAGCCTTGTAATGTTTTGATTTTGTTTTTTGTTGTTGTTGTTGTTGTTGTTGTTGTTTAGCGTTTCTGTTCTTTGATAATTTCCTAAACTCTGTTGTCTCTATTCTTTCTTTCTAGAATTTCTATTAGCTAGAGTCTGAATATCCTAAAAGTCTCCATTCATTCATTCAACAAATATTTACTGGGTACCCACTATATGTCAGATATTTAATGCTGAGGTTATAGTGATCAATGAGATAGACAATATCTCTATCTTCAGGAAACTTACGTGATGGTTTTTTTTTTCCTATAATTCCTTTCCAATTTTCAATCTCTGAATTTTGGTTCTGATTTATGAGATAAAATAGTTCCTTAATTTATTTTCTAGTCCTTTGATTAGGTTTTTTAAGCAATCACATCTTTCATTCTATATTCTTTGAATTATGGAGGCAATATTATTCCATTTCTCTAAGAACATTATTTTTGTTAAAGATTTTGTTGTTTTATACATACTCCAGTTCTCCTCAGTGCCTTAATTCTGTCTATTTCATTATTTCTTTACTTCTCTTTTACAGTCTCTTTTATAGTTGGAGGCTTGCTCGAGTATATGTTGATTCTCAGCAATCCATTCGTATTTAAGGGTAAGGTAATGAAATGCTAACAGGAAAACTCTCAGGTGTAGGTACAAGGCTTATTGACTATAGGATGGCTGAATCTAAGTTCATCTTATCGTTGAAGGAAGCTTACAAATCAGTGTCTCCACATCTCTTCTCTGGCTGGTATCCTTCCATTTTTCAAGAAAGAGTCTTCTAATCTCCTGCCTTGAGAGTATAAGCAAGTTGTAAAGAGAGAAAGAATCTTAGGAGTCTTACAGCTCCATCTAAAAATTTTGAGTTAGGCATCCTTCCTCCAGCTCTTTGTTCTCAGACTGCTTTCCCTGTTATCTGCTGCCTCCAAATTCTGAGCAGACCAACTCTGTGGCTCTACCGTGGGCGCCAGCTCCCTCCTCACTCAGATGAACTACAGAGCTACCAAGTTTGCTACCATACCTCTCAGCTTTACAGCTTTCAAAACAGTCTGTGTATATCTCTTGTTTACATCACTGTCGTTTCCTCTCCATGTTTCTTTATCTCTGTGGATGTACGTCTTTTTTATCCCTTAACTGACGTTTTAACTGGGCTTCAGGGAGAAGAGAAAAGAATTTAAAAAATCAATTCACCTAATTTGACTGAAAGCCTTAAAATGTTCTAAGTTGTTGGTTAAAGTGCTTGGTTTCATTCTCCAAAATGATGCTGAAGGTGGCATCCTTTACCCCTACTCATTCTTCCTTTTCTGTTTCCTTTGAGCAAGTAACTACTTGCCAGATTCTGATAGTTTTAAAATACAAACAAAAAAGACCACCATCTGCCTTCTTTTAGGTACACTAGCTTCACTTAAATCCCATCTTCTAGTTAATTATATTAAAATCAATTATTCATCACCTACAAAGCTGATGCAGAATGTTGTAGCTCTCCAGACATTTTTAAACCTTATCTTTAAATAACGAGGTGATTTAATTATCAGGATTTTATTATATTTGAAAGTGGTATAACATAGACTTTACATAAATACAATGAACACTATTGGGAAAAGAACAGGAACAGAATACAAAACTCAGAATGTGGTTTCTTTCATTTCAATCCCCAGCCCTAAAATACAGCCCTGAGGAAGAGGGCAGCCAAGAAAACTTCTTCAACATCTCCATCAACCAATCCTGACTGAGGAGTTGTACTGAGAAAAAAGCTCCACTCCTCCTTAGGACAGACCCAGGTACAAACTTTATACTATTGCTTTATATCCACAGAGAGGATATGAAATATTGAAAATGACCCAACTTCTCAATGCTTAAAACTCAATACTATGTACTTATAAAGGTCAAAATACACAAAATTCTTGGTATGTTGGATGATATGTTAGCTAATTTCTATTTTTTTTAAAGATTTTATTTATTTATTTGACACAGAGAGAGATCACAAGTAGGCAGAGAGGCAGGCAGAGACAGAGAGAGGGGGAAGCAAGCTCCCTGCTGAGCAGAGAGCCCAATGCGGGGCTTGATTCTAGAAACCCAGGATCATGACCCGAGCCGAAGGCAGAGGCCTTAACCCACTGAGCCACCCAGGCGCCCCTAATTTCTATTTTAAAAATCATCAATTCTACAATATATATTAGCTATCTATCTTCCATATAGATTTCCTATAAAATCTCCTTCTACTCTTTTTTAACAAGGCGGCAATCATTTTGGCTTTTTTATTATGAAATTCTTACCTGATGACATGGTCTCTCCCAACATTACCTTGCAACGCTTACAAATTACTTTGGTATTTGCCTTTGGTTTCTGTAGAACAGAAAAATGTCATTTAAATGTCATTCAGCTTTTCTTAAAAGGAATATATAATTTTAACATAGTCTCTAGAGTATATATTGAACTTTACATTTTATTTTGCCCTCTACTAAATACTGGGAACACATTTAGCTTGTATGCATAATTCACATGCACAGAGATCTTTTTTTTTTTTTAATCTAAAGACAGAATAATGAATAGACTGATTTTTCTAAACCTAGCCACTTCTTGAAAATCTAATTGTTGTAAATAATTTGAACAGGAAGCACCTTACATTTCTAAAAAGCACTTCCAAACATCCATTACCATTTAGGATAGGCAGATGGTAGACAACAAAGGCAGACAGAATAGGTGACTTGTCCCAATTCATGTGTCTAGAAAACAGGAGAATCAAAAACTGGAGCCATTATTTTGATCCCCAGTCCAGTATAATTTATGTAAAAGTAATCTATAATTCATAACTACTCACCAGAAGTCAAAATTATCTAGCCTACTCATCTAATTCTATTTTTCCACTTAAGATAAGCATTGTAACTGGAAAAACTGGAAAGTGTTCTGAGACAAATTCCTGAAGCATTTTTAAACTTCAAAAATCTAAATTCATCATTTGGGATACAGCTTAAAGGGCTAGCATTCCTCTAATCATTAAGCAAAAAAGAAAAAGTTCTTTTATATTCAGAGAACAGATTGGTGGGTAAATGGGTGAGGGTGGTAAAAATGGGTGAGGGGTCAAAAGGTACAAACTTCCAGTTACAAAACATGGAAGTCATGGGGATGTAATGTACAGCATGGCAACTACAGTTAATAATACTGTATTATATATTTAAAGTTGATAAGAGTAGATCTAAAAGTAACAATGTTCTATGTCAGTTATACCTCGATTAAAAAAAAGTTACTGCTTTGTAGTTTGTTTGTTTTTTTTGTAAGAGATTATGTTATAAGCAATAGCATAGTGGTTAAGAGCCCTGAGTATGGACCAGATTTCCAAGGTTTCAGTCCCAGCCCTGTTATTCACTGCACACATGACCCTGAGCAAGTTAATTAACCTAGTTTGGTTTCTTCACCTGTAAAAGGGAGTTAAGAGTAGTGCTTAACTCCTAGCATTGTTTATTAGGATTTAAAAAGGAATATTATAAAGCCCTGTCCTGGGAAATGGTAAGTACAAATGGAGGTTACACAAACAAAATATACTTTTGGCACACATCATTCAGGATAGGCTGACCCATACCTTCCCACAAAGGGACCGATTTTTTGCCTTTTACTAGATAGCCACTGTGTATTAAGAATCTACCAAAAAAAAAAAAAAGTTTTTTTCACATCCATAGCAAAATCTCTGTTAAAGCCCTACAACATTCTTTTCACAGAGATACACGGCAATGTGGCAGAAGTCATATAAAAGTGGGCAGGGAAAAGAAATTTCTGCAACTCCGGCCACCTGAAGTCATCTCCCCTGGGCAACCACAGACTAGAGTGCTGGTCTAAGTAAGGAAAGAATACCTTTCTGATGTGGGATAATGTGTGTATTGACCTAAGGAATCTTAACTGATTAAGGTAAGTTTGAGTACCATCATACTTTCCTTGGCTTTAATCATTATGTCCTGAAAAGCTGCATAAGAGGCACATTTAAACTGAGTTCCATGGATGTGCTGCTAGTAACTGATAGAGCTGATATTTGAATCTAGATCCCTTTGTTGCTAACATTTGTGTTTCTATGTCCACAATAGCTAAACTATGGGAAGAACCTAGATGTCCATTGACAGATGAATGGATAAAGATGTGGTGTGTGTACACACATACACACACATACACACACACACACACACAGGAATACTACTTAGCCATCAAAAAGAATGAAATCTTGCCATCTGTGTTGATGTGGATGGAACTAGTGAAATAAGTGAATCAAAGAAAGATAATTGTCATATGATCTCACTCATATGTAGAATTTAAGAAACAAAACAGAGAACTATAGGGGAAGAGAGGAAAAAATAAAACAAGACAGAATCAGAAAGGGATACAAACCATAAGAGACTCTTAATCTTAGGAAACAAACTGAGGGTTGTTGGAAGGGGGCAGTGGGGAGATGGGATAACTAGGTGATGGACATGAAGGAGGTCATGTGATATAATGAGCAGTAGGTATTATATAAGACTGATGAATCACTGACCTCTACCTCTGGAACTAATAATACATTACATGTTAATTAATTGAATTTAAATTTAAAATTTTTAAAAATAAATAAACAAATAAAACTTGTGTTTCCAAGCACTATGGCCAAGTGTTTTCCAAACTAAGTCATAGAATCAGCTCAATGGGTTACAGCCTGCATTTTTTTTTTTTAAAAATGATGAAATAGAGGGGCACCTGGGTGGCTCAGTGGGTTAAGTGTCTGACTCTTGATTTCAGCTTGATGATCTCAGGGTCATGAGATGGAGTTCTATGTTAGGCTCTGCACTGGGTGTAGAGCCTGCGTAAGATTCTCTCTCTCTCCCTCACCCTCTGCCCCTCCCCCCACACTACCTTTCTTTCTAAAAATAAAAAAAAATTAAAATAAAAAGATGAAATAGTATAGAAATATCACAGTACTTCAAATAGAGTATAAGTACTGCTTCAAGAAACTTTTAATTGATATGTATTCATATGTGTTATCAGATCTTGATATAAAAAATTATTTCTGGGTTGCTTGGGTGGCTCAGTCAGTTAAGTGTCTGCCTTCAGCTCAAGTAAGGATCTTGGGTCCTGGGATCCAGCACTGCATCAGGCTCCCTGCTCAACGGGGAGTCTGCTTCTCCTTCTCCGCCCCTCTGCTTGTGCTCTCTCTCTCAAATAAACAAGATCTTTTTAAAAATATGTATTTCATATATAATTAGAGGTCAAAAAATATCAAAGCCACAGACACAGAAACTAAGGCAGGTGCCAATCTGTTCAGATGTAGGCAAGGATACAGGAAGAAGACAGCTCAGAAAGCAGGCATGCTCAACTGTGAAGTTTGATATTTGGGCAGTTTCAAGCTTTCTTACAATAAAATCTATCTGTATGGCTCCAAATTGGTATTAAACACACTTTTTATAGGACCCATTTATATGAGTTAAATCAAACCAACCTCATTAAATGTTACCAAAAACTAAAGGCTTTACTAAAAACTAATACAGGGTATAGAAGTAGCAATGTTAGAGAAGAAGAAATTTTTCTATTCTGAGCAGAACATTTTTCATCAGGAGCTCTGTTATATATTTCATTTATAATTGCTGTTACAGCACATTTTGCTTTGTAATGAAGTAGGAAGTAGGAAAAGTGGTTACTTATTGGTTTAAAAAAAAAAGCAGTCTACCTTTTCAGGACACTGGTAATCAAGATTCTAAAATATGATCGATAAAAAACAAATGATCTCAAACAACCAAATGTGTGATTTTGATTCAAACAGATAGTAGAAGGTACCTTTAATAGAACTGATAAAATCTGTATATGGTCTGTATTTTATCATCAAGTGATAATTGGTCATTTTGTCAAATGTGAAAAGACACTGTGGCTATTTAAAAAAGAAAAATCCATATGGGATGAAATGACATGTCTGGGATTTGCTTTAAACTACAGGGTCGGGGGAAGGAATTAAAGGGACAGAGGAAGCCTACTTTATGAATCAAGAGGACTGATATATTGAAGTTTACAATTCTTTCCTTTTTACATTTGTGAATGTTTAACAAAGCTCCACACAGTATTTTAAGAAAATTTAAAAAACAAACAGCCTTATAGATTTAACAAAACAAATGATCAAAATCAATAAATTATTGCCAACTACCTCCAGAAAGAAAAAAAAGCAAAGCTGTCAGTCACACTTGCCAGATGTAATATAATCAAAGTTCAATTTCATTTGTTCCTTAAAGCAGCTTGAAGTCACAGTATGACTATACTTTCTAAGTCTAGAATACTATTATGAATCTTATAAAAGGTTGAAGTGCCATTTTTATCATCCTATTATAAGATGCTGGTAGACACAAAAAAATAGCATAACAATAAGTAAATGCAAGAAATAAGGAAATCTTCAAGAGTCTCTTGATAACAAAAGAAAGGTATATACTACCACATTAACAGGCACAAATAACATACTGTATACTCAAATGGGGTACTGAGGGAAAGAAATTAAGTGTTGGATTTTATTTGTTTATGCTATTTTTAAAATGAGGGCTTTTTAATTAAAATATGATAACACTCAGAATTCTGTTGAAAGAGAAACTCTGTTTCGTAAAGCATTTCTTTTGACTGGTCCTTAAAGGAAATAATAAAGCAAGTTGTGCAGTGATGCAGCCTAACAGTGTGGGAACTCGACATCGACAGAGCAAACATCAAAGAAGGACCTTGTTGTAGACTAATGAAATCAATATATCTGAGAGACGGCACCACTGCTCAGAGATGTGGATTAGCCTCCTGTCCTCGTTTTTATTTCCCTTTGTGTTGTTTCAATTTCTAAGGACCCTTGATATTGTCTCGCCAAAAAAAATGTTTCCCAAGAGATATCATTAGGATGCTGTGTCACCATGTGACATTTCAAAACCCTGCTAGATGGCTAGACTTGGTGATATGAGAAATAGGTTTTCAACAGCACAGAGCACACAGTCTTGTTCCCACAGGAGCCTTGAGAGCACTGTTTAAGCAGTCCCTCCAAGTATATGTTACTATTTTGGTCACAGGCATAGTCTTTCAATGGCTGCGATATGCAATTAAAGAGAACTTCCATCTAGGCTAACTTGGAAACAATCTCGTCAAAGCAGCTTGTCATGACAGGAATTTCCCACAGTCTCCTTGATACTAAACACTGTGCCGTCTGAATATGAAGTGTCTTCCTTTAACACATAGATAGGATGGCTGTTCACAATTAAGAGAAATTCTTGTAAATGACATAATATAACTGATAAAGATGTAAGTGTGAAGAATATATTTCCCTATAGGGAAGGGAAACTCATGGTTTCTCTCATTTAATCTTTTTCCTCTCCTCTTCCATTCACATCTTGCAAATATTTTAAAAATTTAGAGCTTAATTGTGAGAATGAAAGTTAAAACACATAGGATAGTGAACTATTAGTCTATAAATTTAGATTAAAATACGATTTTAACATAACCATTTTAAACATAACTGATTTATATTAACTTCTTACCATTTGTTTTTGAAAACTATACAAGGATAAAGTACTATAATTTTAAACGAACCATATTTAGGTAAAGGGATGGGTGTTTACGGAGAGATAAGGCACTTAAATAATTCTGATAAGTTCAATCTTTGACGAACTTCCTTAATCTGCCCTCAAAATACAAAACAGTTCTATAAACTAACTTAAAACCTGCGAGCTGCCCAACTAATGCACATTTCCTGAAGTGGTTCAGTTTTTGTTACAAAAATTAAATGATATTTAATGTACAATGCTTTTATTCCTACCAATGATCAGATGTTAAAACGAAGATTGTCTGGCAATGAATTTCTTTACTTTTTAAATCAGATCTGTATTGCCTTGCCATCAGGAGAATGATTTCTCACAAGGGCCAAGTCAATGCCATTGATTTTCTTTTAAAGTAAGGTAAACCACTTGTTCTCTGCAGTGAAAGGAAGCTGCTTTCTCCCTAAAGCAAATTCTATAGCAACGGGCAGCTGACCTCACATGGCCCACCACCAACTTGGAGTTGGCAGCACGAGCTTCTTTTCCACATTTGGACTCCTCCACTTTCTCTTTTTCCTTGATGGCATCTGCTTTTATGACATCAGCAGAAGTCTTAACTAGGGGCAGACACAGGGAAATACCTAGGCCTAACTGTATAGTACATATCATGGAATAAAAACACTTTTAATTCAAATCAGACTATATAGATTATGGTATGTTGTCCTAAAAACAAGAAAGTAGGGCATTTTGGTTTGTAAAATGGTAACATTCCCAATTCTATGCATGAAAAAGTCCTCTTCCTCCAGCCCTAAGCTGTTCTGGTCTAAGGCCTTATGCTCTTCCTCTATCAACAGAGTAGAGTTGGTGAATAGAGACAGTTGAAAATCATGGATTTTGGTCCTTGGAACAGTATGTATAGCATGCTGTAATTAAGAAAAGATAGGAGAAGCCAGTTTCTAAGCCAACCTCCAAATTAGCATTTATTTTGAAAAGATGTTTTACCAATTTAAAATGGTTCTCAGAAGGACACTGTGTCTCCACTGGGGCTAGTTCAGGTCTTGGCTGCCATAAATCACTTCTTAAATTCACCAAGAAGAAAGAGTCTCCAATAAAACAGTCATTCTCTTGCGGATGAAGAGGCTTATTAGCAAAGGGGTCAGGATGACAACACCATTCTTCAACTAGCGCTCCCCAGTTCTCACTTGGCAATGGGAGCACCCTGAGGAGCTTCCTAGTAGATAGAGGAAGAGCAATTTTTAAAGAACAAAATGGAAATGTAGCATTTTCTTAATTAAATCAGCATGAAAGATAAAAGAAACTCATTAACCACATTGTCTGCAGTGATGATTTTTTCCCCCCAGATTACAAAAGTAATATATACTTACCCTAGGCAGTTTGAAAATGTATAAAGGTATAAAAGAAATAAAAATCATCCTTTCCTTACCACCCAAAGACAAGTAACTACTTTGTAAATGATGGGTTATTTTCTTGCAATCCTTCCAAGAAACATAACTGTATGCACATATGCAGTCTGGGATCAGAAGTTATACACCAACTTGCTTTCACTGTTTAGTTATATTATGATTCTTAATGACTCCATTCTATTCTACAGGCTTGCAAAAACTTTTAGATCATTCCCTTACTGGTGGACATTCAGTTTCTCAGTATCAACAACCCTGTGATGAACCTTCCTGTTAAAAAATTTGTATACAGGGGCGCCTGGGTGGCTCAGTGGGTTAAGCCCCTGCCTTCGGCTCAGGTCATGATCCCAGGTCCTGGGTTCAGGCCCCACATCGGGCTTTCTGCTCAGCGGGGAGCCTGCTTCCTCCTCTCTCTCTGCCTGCCTCTCTGCCTACTTGTGATTTCTCTCTGTCAAATAAATAAATAAAATCTTAAAAAAAAAAAAAAAAATTTGTATACATATCTGACGATTTCCTTGGGAAAAAAATCTTGCAAATGTGAGATCACAATCACAATGATATCCATTGTGACACTTATCGGCAAACTGCTTTTCAGAAAGGCTATATGAATCTATAATTCTTCCACCTACCTTCTTCAGAATACTATCACTTTTCCACATAAGGGGTAAAAATATTCTCCATATATACCGCTTTAATTGGCAACTCTTTAATTACTAGTGAGATTGAACTAGCTCTCCTATTTATTGACCAGCATGTTTCTTCTGTGAGTTGTGATCAGTGACTATTTTCTAATGAGGTATTAGTATGTTCTTACTAATTTTTAAAAGTATATTCTATCTTAAGAATATTAGCCTTCATCCATCATCTGTGACAAATATTTTTTCAATGTTATTGCCCTTTAATTTGGTTTGTCTTAAAATTTCAAATTACCTAAACCTTTCTTCTCTGATTTCTCCCATTAATTATTTTGCAATAAACTTTTTATTTGGGAGTAATTTTAAATTTACAGAACGGTTTCAAAAACAGTATAGATAGTCCTCATATACACTCCACCCAGCTTTCTGAGGTTAACATCTTATATAACCATGGAAGATTTGTCAAAACTACAGACTTTATCTGGGTTTCCTTAGTTTTTCCATTACTGCCCTTTTTTCCTTTGATCTAGGATCCAATTCATGATAACATACTGCCATTAGTCATCATGTTTCCCTAGTCTCCTTTAGTCTGCTACATTTTCTTAGTCTGTCCTTATTTTTTAGGACCTTGAAATTTTTGAAGAGCAGTGGGTCTGGTGTTTTACAGAATATCCCTCAATTTAAGTTTGTCTGATGTTTTCTCAAGATTAGACTGGGGTTACAGGTTTGGGAAAGAATACCACAGAAGTGAAGTGACCTTCTCAGCACATTTTATCAGAGGGTACACTCTCTCAATCAATATGACTTATCACTGGTGCTGTTAAACTTGAACACTTGGTCAGCCAATATCTATCAGGTTTCTCCACTAATAAAGCTACTATTCCTCCCTTTGCAAACTCTATTCCTTGGAAATGAGTCACTAAGCCCAGACCACACTCGAGAGGAAAGAAACTGAGCTCTACTCTACTATTATTTTTTATGTTTAAAAGAGCCTCAGGATTAAGTAGGCCCTTATATTTGTTATCAGTTCTGGTTTTTTTTTCCCCAATGGTTTCATTTTTTTCTGGACAACAACTGATACCTCGGACTTTATCAAAAGAAAAGCTAAACATGATTTATCTCTATTCTACTCTAAATTAGGGAGACCCATAGTCTAAGAGGAGAAGAAATATGGGCAGAATCATGAGAAACTTCAAAATAATTAATCCTGAGAAAAACTGAGAATAAAAACATGTTCATGGTCTTCTTAATGCTAGTGAGTAGTGTGAATGTTTAAAGCAGCCTGAATACTTGCACAGCTCTGTTCCTATGCACAGAAACATGTGCTAAGAGTCAACTGTATTTGATCACAGACCTGTTTATGCCACTTATACCTTATTTTAGTTACATAATTTAAATAGTATGTAAACCAAGGAAATATAAATTGCTATTCCCCTGAAACTAAAAGTTTCAGACAAAATAAAAGCCAGTTGTAAAAAAAAGAAATTAACTGGTAAGACATGGGAGATACAACAATAGAACATTGGAAAAAGGGAGGAAGAGTAAAAATCTAGAAAAGTCTACAATTCCATTGCTTTAAGAATGTCTAACTTCTCCTTCCACTTAAGAAAACAGAAGCTAGAACTTGTAGATGATGAATCTGTTGCCTCTGGGATAAAAAGGTTAACAATGAAATACCTGATAGTAAAAAAAAGCTACACAATAGTGGAGTCATGTTCAACAAAAAGATACTGGTTCTATAATAAAATATTAGTAAATTAATACACATTTGCATGTTTTAAGTTAAAATATTTGAGATGCAAATGTGTCATTTTTTAATGATTTCTCCCATGTTAATCCTTTTTCCTTTATCTCAACTATGAGTATCATAAAAAGACTCTTAACTACAAAGAACAAACTGATGGTTACCAGAGGGGAGGGGAGTAAGGTGATTGGTTAAGTAGGTGTTGGGGATTGTTGTGATGAGCACCGGGTGTTGTATGGGAGAGCTGAATCACTAAACTGTACATTTGAAACTAATATTATACTGTACACTAACTAACTGGAATGTAAATAAAAGTTAAAAAAAAAAAACCACCAATAAGAAAATGACAGGTGAACATACTACTTTCTCCCACTGGAGTCTCTGGAAAGTGAGTTGTGGAAGCAGATCTTTGGGCAGCAGTTCCATGACCACCTCACCCAGCTTCTCAAGCACCATCCCAAAGCCAAGATCCACAAAGGCTGACAGGTGCTCCACTGCACTGATCTGCCACAGGCCTCTACCCAGTAATTCTGGATCCACCAGCAACAACAAACCCAGGGAACCGTCAAACATTCCACCTAGAGCCCTACCAGCAAGTGCACTCATGGATTGCTTCTTGGCTATTTGATCAGGGATGGGGGAGAGGGATTGGTAAATATAATGTGATTTACTCTCTTACTATTTAATTATTCTTCTAGATCTCTTTCTTACTGTTCTTATATCAATATAAAATTAAAATATATTAAAATGTGTCAATCTAAAGAAAAAAGGCAATTACAATATGGAAGAGAGTAGACATTTAATTTAGGAATCCAGAGGACAAACAGGAAGAAGAAAGGCTGATTTTGGTTTAATATAAAGAAGAACTTTCCCTTTCAAATTAGGAAATGTACCCTAGTAGCATCACTCAAGCTGCTGAGCTTGTTTAGGATATTAAGTGATTCTTTCAACATCCATTTTCTAAAAATCTTCTACGAGTGGGCATTCAGTTGACAACAAATATTAATACAGTTCCCTCTCTCAAGGCATTCAGGGTTCCAGCAGGAGATATAGACCTATGAGCAAATAATAAAACTTTAAATATAAATATCACAAATGCTCATACCAAAGTAATGGTTCTAGGGAGAAGGAGCTAGATGGCAGAGGAGTAGGAGACCGAGATATCATCAGGTTCCAGGAGTCCAGCAAGATTATTATCAAACCATTCTGAACACCAACATATTCAACAGGAGATAGAAGAGAGGAAGAGCAGCAACACCAGGAACAGAAAATCCACCACTTTCCAGAAGATAGGACGTAGGGAGAAGTGAATCCTAAATGATGGGACCATAGACCTCGGCAGGGAGGGGCCAGCTCCTGGCAACTAAGAGAGCAGCGCAGCATAAAATTGGAACTTTTAGAAGTCTGGATGTCACTCCAAAGGCTAAGCAAGGGGTGGAGCCCTCGCTGGGTCAGTGTGGTCTCAGGAACCACGGGGTCATGGAAAGACACGGGGTGTCTGAGTGTGGTAGAGGTCCCAGGTAATGGAGCATGGTAAATGGCAGCAGAGACAAAGCTGAGCAGTGGGCTCTCAGCTTGGGATTAATTTAAACCATGATCCAAGGGGTGCCTGGGTGGCTCAGTGGGTTAAGCCGCTGCCTTCGGCTCAGGTCATGATCTCAGGGTCCTGGGATCGAGTGCCGCATCAGGCTCTCTGCTCAGCAGGGAGCCTGCTTCCCTCTCTCTCTCTCTGCCTGCCTCTCCATCTACTTGTGATCTCTCTCTCTGTCAAATAAATAAATAAAATCTTTAAAAAAAATAAAATAAATAAAATAAACCATGATCCAAGGCACAGTTGTACCACTGCTTTTCAAGCAGGGATCCCACAAGCAGCAGATCCAAGGAGGGGAGATCCCCTCCTTCCTCCTCCAGAAGGACCAGTGCAGGAGGGTGCTGCAGGAAGCTCCACATGGGTTTGGAAACTCTCAATGGGGCCATTCGCCTGAGATAAAAATACTAAGTCACAGGCCGGGTGAGCTCAGAGTGCAGCTGGAGACCAGGGAGACGGGAGGGACTGACTGCTTTACTTTGAGGGCACACTGAGGAGAGGGGAACCTGAGTTCTCAGCTCCTACAGAGCCAGAGATTGGGAGGCCTCCATCTTCATTCTATCCTCCAAAGTTGTACAGAAAGTGTTCAGGGAACAAAAGCTCCTGAGAGCAAACCCAAGCAGATTACTTAGCCTGGCCCCTGGTAAGGGCAGTACAATTCTAACTCGGGCAAAGACATTTGACAATCACTGCAACAGTCCCCTCCCCCAGAAGATCAGCAAGAATACCCAGCCAAGACCAAGTTCACTACTCAATGCGAACTGCAGAACTCCAGACCTAGGAGAAAACAACACATAGAATTCATGGTTTTTTCCCCATGAACCTTTAGTCTTTCAAAGTTAA